TAGGGTTGGATGGATTCATTGGGATTGGTTGGTTGATTGATTGATTGATTGATTAGTCGGGGAGGGGTCAGGGCCCCCACCCAAACGCACACACACACACACAAACGCTCGGATAGTCTTATTTTTCAATTTTTTTTCCTTGATTGATTGATTGATTGACTGATTGATGGGGGAGGGTTTGCCTCCCCCACCTTTTACAAGAGCACACACACACACACACACACACACACACAAATATTGTCATTAAAAAATTAAATAAGCAATAGAAAAATTAATTAATAAATAAATAATTAGGTAAAATAATAACTCAAAAATAAAAAAAAGTAATTAATTAGGATAAAATCAAATAAATAGTATAAATAAATAAACTAGGCTACCAGCAGGGTCGCCCGGGTCATCGTATTTCCCTAGGCGGCCCGCGCGTGCAAGGACCACGGAAGGTCCCAGCAAAAAAAAACAAAATACAAAAACATAAAAAAACTTCGGAAAAAAAACTATGTTATGCATAAAAATAAACCAAACAACTTTTGCCTTTGGGTCATATCGAACTTCTTTACAAAATTTAAAATTAAAATAAAAAAATTACCTAGGCTACCAGTCGGGCCGCCCGGGTCCCGGGTGGCCAACCCGTGCAAGGACCAAGGAAGGTCCCAGCAAAAAAAAAAAAAAGTCAAAAAAATCCAGAACAAAATTATGTTATGCAGAAAAATAAACTGAACAACTTTTGCCTCAAGGTCACATCGAAATTCTTCTGATGTCCTTGATATGTGAGAAAACACCAAATTCACGCAAAATCACATGTACACACATATGTATTTTACACATGTACACACATATGTATTTCAATAAAGTACTTCCGTGATTGCTGTGTGCCGACGGGTAATGGCTACCTCGACCGGTTTCGACCGCCGCCACGCGGTCTTCCTCAGGGGGATATTCCACCTCTCATCACCCTCAATATTCCCGACGTTCCACTAGCCCACCGCCGCTGTGTACCGCTGTGCATCTCCGGAAACGTAACAGCCTAACTTCTAGAACCTCCTACCTACTCTCTACAGGTCTGAAGCCTCGTATTCCCGACAATCGCTAAGTAACCGGTTCGATGTCTCAACTGGCCTATCGTGCAGCATCAGATTCCCAGTCTTCTCTTCGTTGGTACGAGGCCCAAAACGGCCTCTTACTCCCAACGGTACCAAAACCAGTACAAGACTCCCGACTCATAAAACCAGGCATTCCACTCTCAGCAAACAGGTCGTTGGCTCGAGGCTCGGTCCTCATCTACGACTACATGAAAACACCATCAGATAAAACCAAAAAAACAAAAAACAAAATACAAAAAAAAACAAAACAATCTCTCTCCAAATCAAACCATACCCGAAAACGAAATCAAAACAACACAAAACAGAACCAAACAAAAACAAAATAAATCAGACCCAGCAACCCAATCTTCTGGGTCGACTATGTCCTTACATCTTCTGGGTTAACTCTATCCTTACATGCTCTGGGTCAGCTCCATCCCTATGGAAATCTTACATCTAAAACTTAGTGTCTCCTCGTACCCTGTGTTCACCTGGCTCGGCCTACAACCCTCACCCTACATTCCCTTATTCCCTACTGCATACAAGTACTTACAAATTCCACACTACCATCCCAGAGCCAAGATCCAGATCAATCATACAGCCATCGGCAAAACGATTCCCATATCCGGTCTCTGCCCTTCACGAAGCTCCTCAGCACTCTTTCCAAGCACCTACTTGGAAAATCCTTAATCCGGAGTTCCCTCTTGAGTGTAAGCACTTGCATCGGGATCTCTTCCCGTATTGTTGTATTCTTCTCAATGTGGTGCAGGTAGCTTGCTACTACTACATTCTTCTGTTGCTTGTTCCCCAAGGAGTTGAATGCTTGCCCGTTCTTGAATTCCAGTTTTTCGTCACCCCAGATGCCCTCCTCATTCTTCGATTTCGGCAGACTTCCAACGTATGGGGAGTGATTACTAATCCTCATTTCCATCCAAAGGAAGTCCCAAGAATTCCCTCCTTCGTCGGTTCTCTTCAGCGTCAGGTTTTCCAGATAACAGTTCTCGAAGGCTTCCCTGATCCTCCTAACCTTTTCGGCTTTACCCTTTCTCGTTCGCACGATCAGGCTCACATCATCCATGAGTCTAAGGCCGAAGATGCTCCGTCGGAGATCTCCCATGCTTCTCAGAAATCTGAATTCTGCATATGCACACATTATGCATGCCAGGGGTGGGCTGGTCCCTTTCCCTATTGGGATACCCACGACTTGCCTCAAAAGCACTCCGGTCGCCCTCGTGTATGTGTGCTTCAGTTCAAATCTAACAAACTCGCAGATCTGCCTCAAGTCAATCTTCTTCCAATGATCATCGCCTGTTGTGTGACCATAGCTGCTTCCTTTTCCTCTCGTATTGACTCTCACGTAGTTCCTGCCTTTGCTCAGGTGGTATTCCACCAGTCATTCCACTGACTTGATGATCTCCTCATGTGGTAGCTTGCTGAACATGTCTTTGATGTCATAGGACATCGAGACTAGTTCAGATCTTCCATTCATCTGATGCTCAAATTTGCGATTGATGACTTGTATCCTCGAGGCTACCGTCGTGACCGATCTCAGGTTGAAGTGCCAATCGGTTGGCAGAGTGTACAGCAGGTGGTTGAGGGCGTTCGACATATTCCTCCCTATCTTGATCGTCGTCTCTGAATATGTTGGGCAGATTGGTCGAAATCTGCTCAAATCCTTGTATTTCGGTAATACATAAGCATTGCCAAAGTCACCTTGTCCGTCCCACTTTACATCCTGCTGCAGGCTTCGCTTCTTGATTTCCGCCTTCATCAATGTTTTGACAACTTCCTCTGATCTCTCCTCGACTATGTACCCAAAATTCCTCACAAACATGTTCATCATTGCTTCATGATACATTTTCGGGCACAAAACCAGAGTTTCCCCTGGGTTTCTGTCCAAAGGTGTAAGCACTAGCCCTTCCAGTGCTTCCTTCACTTGTTCAACTTCCCGGGTCGTTAGGTACTTAACACCCCCCTCTCTTCTACCAATCATGCACCTGTCCACATCACCCTGCTGGACCACCGTCTTCTGGCCCCTCCCATTGGCCCATCCTTCGAACGCTGCACCTATCTCCTCACGTAGCATCCGTTTACTATTTTGGTAGTTAGGTTTCGGGACATTGTTCGCATTACAGATCATCGGGTGGATCCCTCCCAGTTCCTGCAATCGGAACTGCACGTGATCTCTTATCCTAGGATAGGGAAGCGCTGCACATCTGCAGGTCTGGACTTCAGCTTTAGCGTAACGCCGCTGGTTATGCAGTATGCTCGAAACATGTGGGCTCTTAACCCATACAGTTCGAGCAGTAATCCGCGCTTCCTTCTTCACACAAACTGGTAGGTCCAACTCTCAATCTTTTCATTCACCACCTTCCTCACCTCGGACAACTTGATTCGATCGTCGAATTTAAGTCGAACAACTATCCTTGAGTTAACCTGCCATCCAAAATCATTCTTGATCGCCCTCACAATGATTCTTCGAAGGTAGGCCGTGGTAGATTTCTTCTGAAAGTCCTTCGCAGCATCCCTCAACCTCATCAGCTCCTCCAGACTTCTTCCTTCCAAAAGCTTACCTCTACTCGGGTTCCGGAGTAATGATATTAGAAATATCTTATCCAGACCAATCCTAGGCTTCCATCGCCTAAGATAGCACACCTCCATCTCGCCTCCTGATTCAAACACTTGTTTACATGCAGATAGCTTCTCTCGTTTTTCATTCACCTTAACCGTCGAGAGTCCAAAAGCCTTCCGTATCGACTTCCAGCCGCCACTCCATCGGTTTCCTCCCTTTATGTCCAAGTGAAAGCATCTCTGCTCCAACTCTTCCCTTTCCTTAAAGAATCCAAAAACATCCATGCTCCAATCATCGGGCTCGCCCGACCTCATTTTCACTGGTATTACCGTTTTTGGTTCACGCTGGCATTGTCTGGTTTGAACGTGCCTCCCTCTCTCCCCTTTCCCTTTCCTTTTTCTCCTTCCCTTTCGTCTCCTCCTCTTCCCACTCCTTCCACACGTATTTAGAATCGGGTTCCAATGCCGAATGAACATGGTTTCCAGCTCAACCAGTTCCCTCGTATTACAACTATCAATTGGAATTAGTACAAACGATTCCACCCTAAACCCTCTCCACCATCAATACAGATGATTCTTCTTCTCCCCTCTCTTATACACTGATAGGTGTTCCCTCCATCGCACCTGTGCGTCCCGGCTCGTATGTCCTACATATTGCGCGCGGCAGTATGGAGATGTCAACACATACACGCATCCCGAGATTTTATTGAAAGTATCCACACCCCCCTGCTCGTATAGGCTAACCCATGAGTCGACATATTTCTCCATCCATCTAATCTGCCCACGTAATGCTAACAATATCACTGGGATGCGATAGATAGCATCCAAATCAGTGTCTGTGTTACCTTTCTTCTGCCTTGCGACTATTCATCTGCACAGCTCCCAGAGCTCCTTATTCGGCCAGCATCGTCACTCGTCAGTCTCAAATGCTTCTTCCATCTCCTTTTCAGTAGCCTCCGCTCCTTCCGCTTCTTTTAGGGGCTCGACGTTATCCTGCTCTTCGTCCTCTTGTGATCCATACGCCTTCTCTGGTCGTTTTTCCGTGATCGCTACGATTGTCGGAACCTTCTTCCCACCGAACTGTACCCCTTCATCCACGCTGATCTGTTTCAGTTCATCTACTGTCAGATCCGCTAGCAGAAGCATATTCTCCCGCATGTATTTCACCTTCCCAACCGATCCGATCTTCGCCGAGATCTTCTTCCTCTGATTTCCCGACCTTGGTGTTGCCCGTTTTGGTGTCTTCCTGGCCGATTGCCCTGGTGACGTTCTTTCGCCACCCTGCCTAAGTCTCTCTGCCAGCTTCACTGGTTTGATCGTACGCCTTGGTGTTCTTTTTGCCGGAGTCATCATTGGGGGGCTATTCCCTACATTCTTTTCCGCACTCCGCTTTCTCTTCTCTTGTTTTCCCGTAATGGTCAATTCTCCCGTCTTCTGGCTAATCTCATCGACGTCGCTGTCTCCACTGCCCCCTAATGCTTCTGACTCCTCCTCCGAACCGATGGTGTGATCTGGTGTCGCCATCTTCGCCTTCCCTTTCCCCTTTCTCACAGTCTCCTTCACCACTCTCTTCACCTTCCGGTCAACACGGTCGATACGATTTTCAATACCTCCCATCCTTATGGACAGTTCCATCGCCATGTCCTTCCGTATGAGTGCTCGATATTCCTCCTCCCGCCGTTGCTTCGCCTGCTTTTTCTTCGCACGTCTTTCGGCTGCCTCCTTTTCTTCGACTTCCCTTTTCTTTTTTTCTTCCTTTTCGGCTCTTCGTTTCTCCTTCTCCTCCCGCGCTTCCTTCTGCTTAATCACGAATTCCCATACGGTTGTAAGCGAGTTTTCCAGATCTTCGAGATGTTTGCGCAGGTTAGGGTCAGCAGATACCGCTCGCCTTGCGCGCCCTCCTATGTCCCGTTCTGGTGATAGCGACCGTCCTCTTGGTCCCATGTAGGCTTGTGAGCCTCCTTCGCCTACTAGCCTTGGGCATTGGTTTTTATAGTGTCCCGGTTCGTTGCAGTGGAAGCAGATCGGAGCATTCCGCCTAGGGTAGTCCCGTGGTGGATAGCTTCGATCATAGTTCCCTCTGCTTGATTCACCATATCCTCCTCTCGCGTCTCCTTCGCCGCCCTCTCGTCGGCTCTCTCTACTCCTCTCTCTTCCGCCATCTCCCCCACTTTCCCGTCCACTATCGTAGTGGCGATCTCCAGCCCGATCTCTACTACCATAGCCTCGATCTCGTTCCCTCTCCCACCCATAATCTCTATGTCTCGACATTTTCGAATCTTCCACGCTGTGTATCCACCTCCACTGTACCTCCTCGTGAGTCGTACTCTGTGTGGCTCCGTTTACTGCTTCGACTGCTGCCTTGCTATCGTCTCTCTGGTCTTTCCGTAGACGTCGCTGCTTCCCTTGCTCTCTCGGTCTTCGCTGCTTCCTGCTTCATGTTCCATCCAGTAAAGTCACATCACATGTTCACTCTCACTCGGCAACCTTCTCCAAGCGGGTTCGCATGCGCCTTAACAGATGTCCTTGATATGTGAGTAAACACCAAATTCACGCAAAATCACATGTACACACATATGTATTTTACACATGTACACACATATGTATTTCAATGAAAGGATGATACTCGGTACACAAAGTACTTTCGTGATTGCTGTGTGCCGGCTGGTAATGGCTACCCCGACCAGTTTCGACCGCTGCCACACGGTCTTCCTCAGGGGGATATTCCACCTCTCATCACCCTCGATATTCCCGACGTTCCACTAACCCACCGCCACTGTGTACCGCTGTGCATCTCTGGAAACGTCCAACGGTCTGACAGCGTAGGACCCGGAAAAGGACACTGACTCACGCAATCGTTTCTCAAATAGATGTCCGGTGACTCCTCCCATAGTAACAGCCTAACTTCTAGAACCTCCTACTTGCTGTCTACAGGTCTGAAGCCTCGTATTCCCGACAATCGGTACGTAACCGGTTCGAGGTCTCAACTGGCCTATCGTGCAGCATCAGATTCCCGGTCTTCTCTTCGTTAATACGAGGCCCAAAACAGCCTCTTACTCCCGACAGTACCAAAACCAGTACGAGACTCCCGACTCATAAAACCAGGCATTCCACTCTAAGCAAACAGGCCGTTGGCTCGAGGCTCGGTCCTCATCTACGACTACATGAAGACACCATCAGATAAAACCAAAAAACCAAAAAATAAAATACAAAAAAAACGAAACAATCTCTCTCCGAATCAAACCAAACCCGAAAACGAAATCAAAACAACACAAAACAGAAGCAAACGAAAACAAAACAAATCAGACCCAGCAACCCAATCTTTTGGGTCCACATCGAAATTCTTCACCAAATACAAAATACAAAATAAAATTTAAAAATAACTTTTTTATTTTTTATTTATTTTTATGTTTTTGGCCCGGCCGGGCAAGTGACCCCGTGCCACTCTGGTAGCCTAGAAAATTACACAATAATGTTTATTTTTTTATTTTACAATTCATTTTTTCCTCTGTCGGGCAAGTGGTCCTTGGCCACTCTAGTAGCCTAGTAAATAAATAAATTAAATAAATTAAGTAGAAAAATAAAAAAGTAAATTAATAGGTAAATCAATAAGTAAATAAGTAAAGTAAATAAATAAAATAAAAAAATAACATGAAATAAAGAAGATAATTACTTAGAAATAAAGTACATAAGTGAATAAGTAACTAAAGTGAATAAATAAATTAAATAAGTAAGTAAATAAATTCATTAATAAAGAAAATAAATAAGTAATTAAAAAAGCTAAATAAGTTTTTTTTAAAAATAAATAAATAAGTGAATAAATTAAATAAAGTAACAAATTAAACTATACGATTGCTTAAGAAATAGATAAATAAAATAGGAAAGAAATAAACATATATATATATAATTAAATAAATAATTTGAAATTGTTTTACCCCAATCAAACCTATAAACTTCCTTGCACACACACACACACACACATACAAGAACGCACATGCAAAAGAATGGTTATTAATAAACAAACAAATTTACAAAATAAATTAGTAATATACTAGGCTACCAGCCGGGTCGCCCGGCTCCGCCTATTTTCCTAGGCGGCCCGGCCGAGCAAGGACCAGGGAAGATCCCAAAAAAAAAAAAAAAAAAAAAAAAAAAAATCAGAAAAAAAACTATGTTATGCAGATTGCAAAAAAAAAAACTGAACAACTTTTGCCTCATAGTTGCATCAAAAGTTTTTACAAAATTTAAAATAAAAGCCTTAATTTAAAATTATTTTTTATTTTTTATTTTTTATTTTTTAATTTTTATGGCCCGGCCGGGCAAGTCGACCCAGGCCACTCTGGTAGCTTAGGTAAAATATTAATTATTAATAAATAAACTAATGATAATAAAATAAACATTAAATAATCCACCTAATCTAGTTTATATAAATGTTAATAGAACCAACCTAACGCATATTAAAACATTCTTTATAAAATACATTAATAAAATATATATTTGTGAATGTTTTAATAACTCCCTCGTCCCAATCACCTCCTGAGGTTTTGTCCTACTCGTCTCATTGAATTGAGTTGGATCTCGCGAGGGTGAGTATCGTTGAGTCTAACAGGACCAGCAGGAATAAACGATCTTATTTCGTTCCCCTCTCCGCTCCTCAATATTCGATGATTAATGCATGAATGATCTCTAACACACATGTATCGATTGAGTTGTTATCGCAATGACGAGAAAAAAGCAGAATTTCATATTATCACTTCGATGCATGCTTAACTATTCGCACAAATGAAGAATGGTCATTCTCTTGACTGATTGGATTGCACGGAGTTACGCTTTGGATTGCTTTGCACGATGGGTGAAAAATAATGTATATCGTGGTACCTATTTGTTCCTTTGATTGAATAACTGATTGATTACACATATGTCATCAGCCTCGCTTATGCCATGTGGACCGATTGCCCCGATCTGAGTGGGCGTCGACTTACCGTATCCTTGCCACGCTCATTCCCGTAGAGCGGTGAAAAGACACGTGTATGTGAGTGACACGTACAAGAACCCAGCCCCAAGATTAGTGGACGCTACTACTTCCCTCCCGAAACAAGGTGCTCTGGATTCACATTATTGATACTCATTTTTCCCCGTACTCATTGTTATTGTCTTTTAACGAGTTGATTGTCATCCCGTGGACGATGGTGGCACCTCATTGGCCCAACATTTTGTGTAGCGATTGTTGTCGCATTGAGCGTTATCAGGAAAAGGGGTCTCATTAACGGACACGCGGTGAGGACGAACACAATGAAAGAGCAACCAGACTGAGACCATCCACGCCGGATTCTGAGCTTTCTAAAGAACGGTGTAGAACGACCATTTCGTCAAAATGGACATCTTTAATTTTTTGAACGAAATTGAAACCGAGTATTTTGGCCGAAAACTTCTCAAAATTTGTTATTCCTGATGGTCCGACGTTTGTAAAACGCTGGACCCCCTGGCTGTACATGGACCTCGTTTGAGACCAGGGTGGGACCTCACCTGAACTCGTCCAGACTGAGCAGTTGTGAGGTAGGTGGTCTATGGCACGGACTAAGACGGGACTACTGCTACCCAGAATGAAAGGGGCGTTTTTCTTATATACCCCCCCCCAAACTATACTATAATTTTTTTTATTTATTTTCTTTCGAGAAAGGAAAACTTGATTGCTCATGAAAAAAAAGGTTGGGGAGAGTCGAGGGGGGACGCCGCAGCTAGACGGATAGCACTCCGCTGTCGGCGCGAATACCCTTACAAGGGTATCCGCCCTGTTTTTTTGCAAGTGACAGAAAATAGGCTTGGTTTGAAATTTGCGTACACTGCACGAGTTGCGGTTGTGTTTTGTTCACGTTGACTGAATGGTTGACTAGAAGCAGAGAGTGTATGGGCACGCAGTTTTCAGGCGCCCGTGATGATTTTTATTCTTGATGCTATAGAGTCAGCATTTCCACCGGAAATTGTTTTGGCTCTAATTAGAACTAGGAAGAGTTTTCTTTGATTGAAGTGACCATGGTACATCTGCATTCATACGGCATGCGTCATTGGAAGTGGTGTATGCGTGGTGAGTGGGAAACGTCCTAGTCGACCGACGACGGGCCGCGCTTGGGACTTCAGCCCCCCAAATTGACAGTTCGCGTGCGGGTCTGACAGAGGCGTAATACCGCGCGTACCCCCTATGCTACAGCGAACGAGAAACGCCCTCGGCTGGTCCACCTCTGCGACTACAACTGATCAGCTTTCGTACTGTGGAGTGGTAGCTCGGCGGGGATACGCTCACCGAAGAGAGGTGAAAACTTCCGTAAGGTGGAGGTAAGTCGTACCTCATGTAGGCCCTATTTTGTTGTAGGGGCTCGCGGGAGGTATGGCTGGTGCACTCGGCCAGAGCGGCTTGAGGAAGCTCCATGTATATTCGCGACGAAGGATTTAAAACCAACTCCTGCGTGACGCGGCCGGGAGGGTCCCACGCTGCCTTGTGCGGTGCCGGACCGATGTTCTCCACACCGTTGCGCTGTTCCGAAGCGGCATTTGGCCTGGGGTCCTCCGGGGACTTGCTGCGCCACTACTTCGCCGCCAACTTCGTCATCGCCAACGGAGAGCGGGAATCCCATGACACACATCTACTCACATGGTCCGGGCAATCGGACAGGGATTCGTCGAAGCAGCCAATCACGCCCTGTCGCCTCTATTTAGGGAGTGGTGGGAAGAACGTGAGAGATAGACCCTCGCTTACGAGAGTCTGAAGAAGGACACCAGGACATCGTGAAGTTAAATGAAGTCAGCGCGTAAAAGTTAACAGGGTCGCGGTAGGTTGCATGTGAAGATGGGGTAATAGTGGGCGAGAGCAGGTGACCAGGTCTGGGTAGGAGTGCGGTTGTTGGAGATTCCGAACCGTAGGGGGTGTGCTAGAGAACGACGGGGAGGGTGATAGTTTTCGGTCGAGAAATGAAAACGAGGGGGTTGGTAGAGAGATTAGGGAAGAGGGGAATGGAGAGACTTTGAGGATAAAGGTAGACTGCAGGAAGAAATAGGGAAATTTGTGCAACATAAGGAGAGGAGGGAACCACGATTGAGAAGAGAAAATCCGATTGGTCGGACACTCACAAGGGAGACACAGGCTCCTTAGCAGGAAAAGAGAAGTTACCACCGAGAGGGCCAAGCATACCCATAAATCTGCCATTCCCCGTCGATCACACGCCACCCTAGAGTTTCAGAGTCACTGCAGGTTTACAAGCACCGGTGGGGGGATATCCCCCCCCCCGGGGCGGACTCCTACTGGCAGGAGGATTACGGGACGGGGGGGCACAACCAAGGTTTTTACCGAACAGGACAGGGGGGGTTGCAGCGTCCAGCACGATGGGAGTCGCCATCTAGGGGGCAGGGGTTGGAACGAGAGGAGCATAGGAGGGGAGAAGACAGGGGTGACTCGCAGGGGCGTCTAAGTCGAAGGAGCAAATGG